ACATGGAACTTGAAAACATCTGTCTTCCTTATGTTTTCTCTGTCAAGTCTTTGCCAGGATCATTTCCCCGTGTTGGAGCATGTCATACTGTTAAAGCAGTAACTCTTATCAGCTTGACATGTGAGGATTATGTTTCTGCTTTTGAGAAATGGATCCTTTTTTCCAGTATGCTGGTGTAGGCAAAAGATATTACAGATAGTCTCCTGTGTCCGTTTCGCCTTTTGTCATCTTCTACATAGCTGAAATCGGATTTTTTTTTTCTCGCAGGCTTTTACAGTATCAGAATGTGATCTCTGCCACTGTATGTGATAGGGTAATGCTAATTGCTGCAGAACAGCCTTGAGGATGTGGGTTTACAGTAGCTTACTGGTCTGTCTCGCGGCTTTTTGTTGTATTTTCAGTGGCCAATTAAATCTAACTTTGGAAAGTGCTTTGTGCCTGTGCTGTCTGAAGTTTTATATGTGATTCCACAGAAGCACTAGTTGGATGCTCAGCACTCAACTTCTGAAATTCAAGACTCTTTTTTTGGCCATTTTTATGCCATCAAAGGCATGAGGATCAGTGTAAGTGGAATTACTAAAGTGTTGGAGTTAACATGCATCCATTTGTTTAGGTTTCAGGCCATATACAAAAATAGAGATGAGAACTGCATTGTGCATTCTGTTTATTTCTGTGGATGCTCTAAGTGTGGCAGTTAGGCAAATGCAGTTACTGAACAGGGTTAACTATGCAGATTCTTGCCAAGTTTATTTTCTCACGGAAGAAATAATTTTTTTAAAAAGTTAAGTGATATTTTCCAACAGTCTAGTTTGGACTAGATTTTTGAATGTTAACACAGAGAGAACCTACTTCATTTTTCACCCCTTGAAGATTTGTGATCTACAAGCCCAACAATTGACAGGACCAAATTCCTTAACAAAAGGCATAAATGCAGCTGTTAGCAGGTTCTTCCTAAGTCTGAAAATTAAACCAGCACGAGATACTGTATTCTTCATGTGGACTCCAGACTCATGACTGGACCTTCATTTGCTTGGAGAGTATCACAAAGTAGGAGTTGTCCAGGGAGAGAAAAGGGGCTGTCTGCCCTGGCTTTCCAAAACTGAACAGGTGAAAGCTCTTCAGCTTGGAAAAGAAAGAAAAAGGAAAAAAAAAGGGGGACGGTGGGGAAGTGGAGGGTTGTTTTGAAGGTGAATAAAATTATGAGCGTTCTGGAAATGTGTAGTAAGGACAATCTGTTACTGTCCACAGCAGAAGAGAGAGAAAGCAGTAGATCAGCTGAAAGTAAATATAAATACTCATTAAAACACGTACAAAATTGTGGCATTCACTACAAGATGCATAACATGAATTCATCAGGGCTCAGATATACTGTAAATCATTTGGTCCATCAGTGATTCTAAAACACAGTGGTACAAATAGCCTCTGGTTCAGGAAGTTCCTGTACAAATGACTACTGGAAGCTGGGGTAGTTTGTCCGCCGTGTTTTGTATGTCTTTGTCCTAAACATCTGATAGTGAAGTAAAAATTTCATACCCTTTTAAGTGTTTTTTAAAGTTTTCAGTACCCTAAAGATCATAGCTGCTTTAAAGGAGTTTTTTTTAAGCAGCCTGTGGAATATTTTCTAGATTAGTTCACAGTTGCCTATTAACAATGTGAAATATTTTGAAAATGTTTTTGTTGAAGCGTAGATTCAGAATGTCACAATATTGCCTGTGCTGTTTTCTCTCACTTTGCTTAGTATTACAGCAGTCGCATTCTGTTTTATGTTCAGAATTTTCCGTGTGTAGTGGATTGGTATGCAGAAAATGAGAAAGTTGGTAATTTATTTTTATATTATGACTGCACAAGTGTTAGACATAGGAGCTGTTTGGTGTGAGAAGTCAGGATATAACAAGTACAACTGTTGTGTGTAGCAGATTGAGTTTGCAGGAAGGCTTTTGGGGTTTTGTGTGGCTTTGGTTTGGTTCGATTTTTTTTTTTTTTTTTTTTTTTAGTGACTTGCTGACTTCAGAATTTCATGTAGTGTGATATCATGAAAGGTAAATAGCCAGCGTTTCAGGGAAGGTAGGGAGGGAAAAAGCCTCCAGGTATGTCAAGCCTGACGTGTATGTCTGGCCATATGAAACTACTGACTATTAAAAAGGCCAGGCTCAGGTTAACTGACTGTGAAAGCAGAAATAGTATGAAGAAAAGGGGAAAACAAAAAAATGCTTCCAGGTGAACATATGGGAAAAGCTGTTATATTCCTAGTTTATTAAAAACATCGGGTTGCGCTTGCAATTTACATCTCAAATTGAATTTTTTTTTTTTTTCCTAGCAGTTGCATTGAAGTAGAGAAAGATTGCCCTGGAGATAAGTTGGAATATTTTGGTAACTGGTTCTGTAGAAAATCCTGTGATTTGCGGTTGCACCCAGGCTTTACAGTCAACTCTAGTATGCCAGTCTTTATTCTAAGAAATTCAAAAATTCACAAGTCTTAGCACAAAAAATGAATTTATATGTGTCACAGCTTCAGTTTCTTCAACATTCTGAGCTGAAATCAAGGTCCTTTTGTGTTAACTGCTAGTCCTAGACAGTGTGTGATTTATCCTCTGCACTCAAGAGCCCCTTCAACTCTGGCCTTGGTTGATCGTATGACTGCACTTCACTGTGAGAAGAGTTGTTTATTCCCCTTCTTTACTGCTGATTTTTGTAATCCAGATAGTCTGGATGTATATGTAAACACACTGTTTCTGTTCATTTTGCTTTTTTTATTTTTGGAAGTCCAAAGGCTGGAAAATTGCTGACAGGTGAGCAAGAGAAGATACTTTTATTCTTCTCAGTCCTGGTTTGTGTACGTGTTGACACTGGGCATACATGCAGGCATTAACTGTAGTGAGGATTTTCCTGTGCTGTAAGTGGCCCAAATACCGCTCCGTCTGTAAGGGGTGCACGCAGCTATAAAAAGATGCAGGTTGTATTTTCCCCTTACGGTTTGGCTGAGTCTGAGATGATCCCTGCTTTTGATTGGAATTTACACTGTACCAGAAGTTTGGTTTTGGTTGTTTATTGTCTGTTGGGTTTTGTGGATTTGTTTTAATTCCTCTTTGGCTAGGCTCCTTCCACGTGTTCAGGGACCATTATTTAGAAGTTATTTAAACTGGCATTGGTTCTGGGATGGCCGTCAGTCAGGCTTCTACTCTCCCCTCGGGTCGAGTGGCCTAATCTTTCTTAATCATCTTCCTTTTGATGTGTTTGGAAAGCTTCTAGCTTTTAGTTCTAACAAGTTATTGTTTCTTTCTTTGATTTGCCACCTTATAGTTATGTTTTAACCTATCTGTCCTCTCTGTTTTCCTTGAGAGAACATGGGGGTTTTTTTAAAAAACTTTTCATTTTGATTGCCACCTTTAGTGAGTTGCTGGGTCATACTGGATTTTGTCTGCTGAGAATCTTTTTTGTGTCTTGTCACTTCTCCTCATTCCCTAATATGGTATGTCATTCTGTTCCACAAAGGAACACACTTTACCCTTTCAGTTTCTTTTAACTTATTTTTAGCCAGGTTCCCCTTTTCTGCATAGTTGCCCTGTGCTTGAGCTGATTGCCCTTAAGTTCCCATCAGGAACTTTAATGTTAAGTGCATGTCTACTAATGTATTAGAATTCCTGAAGTTTGACAATTAATTGCTGATAAAAGAGAACCGGCTTACCTTATATACACTGGCATTCAAAGGCCTCGTAACGAGATTCTGGGGAAGAGGCTACTTAACAGAAATTAAGTGGTTATTGCATGAGGGGTAACTGCCATTACAGATCAAACTGTCCGTAATAAAGTGTAGAATCGAATGCAGAGCTTTCAGCAGAGCCAAAAGGACCGTGCCATGCCTCGGGGTTTTGTATCGATCTTGCCATTACTGTGTATTAACTTCACAGACGAAAAAGGTGGTTAATAGTAAGGTAGAAAAACATGTAGATGAAAAGAATGAAGGTAAGTCAAGAAAAAAAATTTGTGAAGACTTCATCAAACTAGGCAAGGCTGCACAAAGGAGAGAGTGTTCTGTACTAGTGTAAGTAGAATCAAGGAGAGTGGAAAGCACGGCAGATGAGTAACTCATATGGAGCAGTGTTTCCTTTCCAAATAGCCTCTTGTGTTTGTACGCTGAATTCTTAAAGGCCTCTTCCCAACTGAAGTGCCTTTTTCTCAACTTCAGCACAGCAAATGCAGGGCAACTACAATATCTAGATTTTCTTGAAGTATCTTTTGGTGCTGCTGTTACCTCAGAGCATCAAGTTAGAAGTAAAGCAAAAACGAGTACTTAATTGTTTGGCATATAAAAACTTGAGAGTATTTTTTCTTCTACCTTTGTGTCATACACTTACAAATAACTCGTGTTTGCTTGGACTTTAACTCAACTTGCTTTTATACTTTGTTCTAGCCATTCCTAGAGAAATGTTGCCTGTTGTATAATTTTAATATTACCTGAAGGTAATAGTGTTCTGCTGAGGTGATTATTATTATGCTAACATATTAATAAATTGTTAGTATAAATACTTAACATAATTTTTAATAAATATGTATTTTTGTTCTAGGTATTAATCTAGAATATAACCCTTATTATTCACTTCTATGAAAATATTAAGGAATTTGAAAGTCTATGCACTGTCTAATTTTTCCCTTGTCGTCTTTTATATTTCCACGTACTTGTAAAGTCAAAATAGATGTTCTGCAATGGGTTGAGCACCAGATTTCATTCTTTGCATGCGAACGCTTAAGGAATTTGAAAGTCTATGCACTGCCTAATTTTTCCCTTGTCTTCTTTCATATTTCCATGTACTTATAAAGTCAAAATAGATGTTCTGCAATGGGTAGAGCACCAGATTTCATTCTTTGCATGCGAACGTTCTTTTAAGGGCTCTTCAAAATAGAGAGCGTAATTGTTACAGGATTTCTTGATATTTAAAAAAAAAAGTCTGCTCAGTTATCTCAGTTTCTCTTGCGTACTGTGTTTCTCTTGTTTATTCAAGGGCATTGGGAGTTTCAGTGACAGACTACACGTTTGAAGACTGTCAGCTAGCTTTGGCTGAAGGACAACTTCGTCTGCCTTCAGACACGTGTCTTTTAGAATTTGCAAAGCTTGTGAGAAGCCTTGGGTGAGTACATACTATATTTATATGCAAGGTGCATCGTTGTTATATATCTATGTTTTTATATAGTTTTCCCTTCATATAATGATACTGCATTTATGAACATGGAATGTTGTCTTGTTACAACACTGACATAAAATTAAACCAATACAGTTCTCTACTTGCAAGCAGCATCCCTAGATCCTAATGAGTAGGTTGTAAAATTCATCTTTTCAGTCTGACAAGTGAGCAGAGTGTGTCTGAGGACTTCATTCCCACACAAAACTAGAAGACACCTCCTGAAGAGGGTCAGGAATACTGTGGGATTCCTAATATTTGATACAGTTAAGAGTCAATTGCCCGTTCCTGTGACATCTACGAAGGGAGAGCAGTGCTGCCACAGCAGCCTTGTGACTGGATTAACATTAGAATAGTGAGGGCAGAGGGGTCACCCTTTCCCAAGAAGCACAAAGAAGTGGTTGACCTTTTGAGTAGCTTACTGCTAGATGGACTTTCTTCTGAAACAGTAGCTTGTGCAGTGTGGCTCTGCTCTCTTATAGCTTCAGCTCCCTCTGGCTTTACCTTTCAGAAAAGCTTCAGCAAACAGTGAAAAAAAAAATCACGTAAACCAAGTAGCAGAACTTGTTGCTGCTGTCTTCCAATTTTTCTCCTGTTTCTCCTCTCACCCTTTTGAACAACCGCAAACTAAATTTACAGCCTCATTCTGTTAACTGCTTTGATATACAAACACCCTTTTCCATTTTTTGTCTCTTCACCTAAAAGTTTACAGCATGGGTTCATGTTTCCATTCTGTGCTTTATTTCCTTTCACTGATTTTTCCTTTATCTTCCAACTTGTGTTCATAACTGAAAAAAGGAAGAGAATAAGGAATGTAGGACAGCATATATTAATTCCTTGTCGGGACCTCCACCTGAAAAGACTTCCAGTAGGATAGGAGAGGTTTCTGAAGGGAAACAAAGATACTTGCTTTGTTCCAAAGCCTTTGAATTTGCAGTACAAAGGGGGAAAAAAAAAAAGAAAACAAAACAAAGGAAAAAAAAAACCCAGACCAACCCAAAAACCCACCCATGTCTCTTATTACGCAGCTGATGATCCCATGATTCAATATAGTCCTTTTGTTAAATTGTCTGGCTTCTGCTCGATTTAAAGCTGTTCTTTCAAGTTACGTGTTTCTGGGTTTTTGTTTTGGCCTCTGAAACAATTATGTGCATCTGTGAGTGAGGTTTCTCACAACCCAAAAGTTTTCTGACTACTTTGAGCAATTGTGCATTGGTGGAATATTATCCTGTCTTGATTTGGATGTGTGCTAGCAAGAAGGCTATTACAGTGGTGTTTTTCTGGCACAATTGGATGAAGGCTGTAATACGACTTCATCTCTAATGTATGTTTGATGGCGATGCAGTCATTTTGCTGTTTATTCAAAGGTTTTGAGGCCAGGGAGGCATTAAGATCATCCAGTCGCATCCCTAAATAACTGGAACAGTAAATTTTATCCAATGGATTTTTACATCCAGTCTTAATACTTGGTTTTGTGCAATAACAGACCCTCAAGGTAATATCCAGTTTTAAATGCAAGATTTTCATAGTAAGGCAAGTCCAGATTTGGTTTTGGTTTCGATTCTTTGGAATCAAGTTATACCTCAGTTTGCTGCACTGGAGGGTTATTTCTGTTTGCGTTATGTACCTACAGGATTCATTTACGTTGTCTGTAAAATTTAGTCTGTGCTCACCTGGGTGGGATCCAATGCAGAAGCCGAGCAGCCACAGCAACGAGTTCTTATGCTTTATCTAATGAAGAGCTCGGGCTCTGTTACTGCAGCTATACAGCTGCCAGGTCACAGCTGGCTGAAGCTCAGCTGCCTTGTCCTGAACTCTGGGGTAAAATGACTGCTGTATCAATGAGATCGATGGATCTTAGTCTCATCTCCTCAAATTCAGCATTCATTAGTCCTCAAGCAGTTACGCTTCTGTTGAGCCTGATAAGCTGTGTCTGAGCAATGAGCTGATTACTCAGCTATGTGTAATCTTTATTGTAGCTTTCATACGTTGTAAATCCCTGCTTTGTTTGATGATTTATTCCACAATTAATTACCGCCCTGTTGAAAGTGATTCTCTATTTGTACTTTGACTGGATCTATTACCATGTTCTGGATATTGCAGCTTGTTTGGATTTTGTGCCTTATTAAAGACCCCTTTGCTCCTTCAGAAAGTGTTAATACAGTATAATTAAGTCTTATCTCCATCTTTTTATGAGATACTTGTTAGGAGCTGCTTTAGGGTAGTTGCCTGCAAGGAAATCCTCAAGTTCTGATTTGAGTTTATTTGTTCCTATTGTATCAAACTTCTGTTCATTCTAATTCCTGCATTCACTTTGTGCACTAACTAGAAGGACCGTCTAACCTTAATTGTTGTTCCCCATTCTTATGGAACCGTGACCTTTAGGCCATCAGTAGCTCCTTAGAGAATTCCCAGTTTTCAGTCAAATGACTTTGTAATTTTTTTAGTTGTGATCATTCTCAGTTTTAATTGTTTTATTTTCTGAAAATTAGAGATATGTCTCCTCTCAGGGGGTTGGGGGGTGGAACAAGCCAAACCAAAACCAAATGTAGCACATACTGCAGTCCAAAGTAGAATTTTTTTAGTGACACTGTTCTGCTTGCTGTTAGATGAGGCTTCTGAAGTCAGATCTTGATCTGAAATTTTGCTCAAGTAATTCTAGCGGTCCTTTTGCATATTTTTGGGAAAGAAAAAAAAATAAAGCACTTTGATAGCCTCACCAAACTTTGAGCCAGATTAAGGATCATCTGTTTTGCTTATCCTGTGCTTGATATTTTTTTAACTGATCTCTTCTCTCTTGCTTTCTGTCTACCTTTCTATTTGTTAACACTCAGTACTGCGCCTTTGCATTATTTACTTAATTGCTTCCTCATTGGGTTTTTTTTTTTCCCATATCTTTCACTTTTAAAACCCCAGGTATGATTTAGAACATTTAGCAAGGCTGGATGTGTCTCAGATCCTTCTGGTTTAGTCACTGTTTTCTACTTCCTGTTTTTTCTTATTTGCTTGAAGTCTTTTTGGCAAATACTCTTTAAAAATTAAAGAGTTTTTCATCTGTTTCTTCTAATTTTTTTTTGGAGGCTAGGCAGCACTGATACTTGTACAAGATGGCACCTTTTCTCTTCCAGTATGGTAGCTGGCTTCCACTTTGCACATCAAAAAGCGATAAGTATAGAAAGTACAGCGAGAACATAACGTGGTATCGTGGTGAATGTGCCTTATTGGTATCTGTGTGGCACAAGACCTTTTGGTTTGGCAGGTTCTTGATCTGGTGTATGCATTTCGTACACAGACTGAGGTTCTTTGTACTTTCACTGAAGACAGTATGGCTTTGCTGATTGCATCCAATTTTGAAAGGTTTGGTTTCCAGCAAATCATCTTTTCCAGGTCAGATTTCAGAAAAATCCCCTGTTCTTGCCTTCTAGATTTTGTCGCTTTCTCAGTAGGATTACTCTTAGTAGTTTTTATCTTTAACAGTGGGTAGCAATTTGTTTTGGAATTCTTTTTTGGATCCTTAGCTATGTCCTTTGCTTTCCTGAGCCTGCGTGTTATTGGTGTCTTGTACTCGTGTGACGGGTACTAGTGATGCCTGCCCTGGAAGAATGTGCTGCAGCCTTAGCAAGCCTGCCAGGCTTCCCTCCTTATACACTCCCTGGCCCTGGTGAAATTCAGTGTTAGTTAAACCTACTTGTGTTGAATCAATTCTGCTGTCTCTTAAAAGCCATAGGATTTTGGTAAGAATTAACCAGCAGTTCCGTTTTGACCACTGCTCTGCAATATTATCTTACCAGTTGACCGTGAGGATCCTACTAGGCAATGCCCCTGTAGGCTCCTAAGATCTGCAAGGAGGAGATCATTACCTCATAGGCCTGGTGCCTGTCTGTTCGTGCTCAACAGCCTTTACCATCCAGACTACGTGTGTGCCTGAAATGGTGGTCCAGACTGTAGGTGGAGCTTTGCATCCCCAAGGCAATAACCCCTCACAGCTAACTCACAGTGCCATGACTTCAGAGTGTTCAAAGATCATCTATAACATGAAAAAAAACCTCTGGAGGATGTTGTCCATCTGCATTCATGATAAAAGCAGTACTGTCCATTACAGGTGATCGTGGATCAGGCTTAGCATAGCTAATACCAACCACGATAGCCCCTGCCTTGTGGATCAAGGCAGAGTGTGCCAGAGTATTCAGAAGGTCAGTTATGCATCTGTTCAGTATCCTTTCTCCATTGTGACAAGAAGTTGCACAGAAGTACATCAGCAGACATAAACCAGAATGTATTGCACTTTTCTAGCTTAGGGCATGTGTCTCTGAGCTTGCCGTTTACAGTAGCTGGCGACAAGATCCGGCTGTTCTTATGCAACTTCCAGCTCTGTGAGACACTAGAAGGTTTCTGGCAGGTTCCCAGCGTGCAAGAAAGGAGTTTGTTTTCAAATAGTCAAATGCAGCTGAATCTGGTTTTAAGGAGGTAAGACATGTCACTTGCTAAAAATAGTGGTAATTATGCTGAAAATATCCTACCTTCAGGGATCTGGTTTTCCTTGTGAAGTCTGCTGTGAAGGATTTAATGCTCAGAGCTGTTATCCTCAAAAAACATATTTTCCATCTTCAGGGACTCAGGAATGATATTTTCTTCTCTTTAGTGTGTGCTGGCCTAAAAAAATGAAGCACACCACCACAACAGCAAATAATGTTGCGTATCGTAAGGCCTGGATCCTGCATGGAATTGGGCAAGCAAATGTCATTTAAGGAGCAAAGGCATCCACTGTTGGCTTTCTAGCTTTTATAGCCTCCGTTGGGATAAAAATAACAATTTTAAAGGCATTGAGACATTCAAACCATTCATTTCACATTAGTTCAGAACCTATTGTGGGATTTGGAACGCTTGGCTTCAGAAGACTTCAGTAAGTTCACCTCGCTGATCCACACGCTTTTTTTGACATTGGCTGACGTCTCTTTCCATATTTACAAAACCCAAACAACAAGACCCAAACAACAAGATGTCTGTACGATTTGTGGTAAGCTGTGCTACTTCCCTTATAAGGTTTTGCCTTCAAACTTTATAGCTTTTGGGGCTTAAGTGACTGGTGAAGAGGAGATCTCACAAGTCTCAAATACTACTCACCAAATGACTACTCCCTCAGTTCTAGACGGTGACTTTTGAGTCAATTTATTGCAAATCAGGCCTCTCTGATTTAGAGGCAGATGTTAGACTGCTTATTCTGTGTCAGTGGTGGCTTATCTCAAGGGAGGATTCGGATGCCAGCTGTCCTCATCCTGCGGTTAAAATCCATTTCAGCTGCTACAGTGGGGATGTGTTATCTGTGGACGCTTCTTGTACGCAGTCCTGCATGTGAGGAGCTGAGTTCTGTATGCATCTCAAAGCCTCCACCAATTCCTTTATCATTGCTCCTGCTACTTTTCTACTGGGTTATGGAAAATGCATGTCTGCAGAGGAGAGTTTTGCTGCTCTTTTTATACAATCTAGAACCAAACTTGAATGTTTTCGTGCCGGGATGGAGATGTATGAATGTTCTGTAGGGGCCATTGGTTTCTGGAAGAATTCTTGCATGTCCAGGTCTTGTAATTTAGAAATACAGGGCTTGGCGTTGTTCAGTTAGTGCATTTTCGGTAAGTCAGTGTAGGTAGTGGCAGACAGCATGCTAGTTGTGTTTTTACTTAAAAGCAGTGATTGTTAGGAAGGGTCACTTTAGCAAGTGGTCAAGGTCTGGAGCTGACATACCAGATAATCTTCCTATCAGAAATGCTCTTATCTTTTTTTTCAGAAGCTCCTGAGAATGCTGATGTTAAGTATTTTATTCATTCTTGTCACTGAGAGGAAGCTGCAGAGGAGTCCCAGGTGTGGTCTGGGAACAATTCTGGTGTGAGCTCTTACGAGTTTTGTAAATAACTGCTTTTCCTTGTCTGCAGCAGTGAACAGCAGAGCAGACAACTGCAGAAGGATGTTGTAGAAGACTCTTGTTTTGTCTTCAGTGGAAAGTTTGGATGCCTGCATTACCTTAAGTCAGTTCAGAGGAAACCTGCTGATCAAGATTTGGTTGATGTTGTATTAGGGAGGGCATTTACTTTTCCCCACATACCTGCAGCACTCTTTATTGTGTTCATAGCAAAATGGGGTTTTCTGTAAAGCGAAAGCAGGAAGCTTGACTTAGGGGAAAGAAAACCCAATGCACACACACAAACAAACAAACAAACAAAAAAAACCCAAAAAACAAAAAAAACCCAGAAAACCCACAAACCAACCAAAAACGCACCATGCAGTATGTATCTGCGTAAATAGAAAGCTCTTCATTCGTCAGTCAAAATCTGGTTTTGCAACAGAAGGACCGGGGGAATTTCTGTAGCTGTATTAGCTGCTATAACTTTGCGTAAGGGTGTCCGGCTCCAGACTGAATGTGAAAAATGGGGACTGACAGACAGGATTAACAGTATAATCGCTGTTATGTAATCCCTGGTTTCTTTTAGGCGAGGTGCATCAGGTCTTTCCTGTTCAGTGACATTAGTAAATTTGGAAACGTAATTGGTTTATGTTACTGTCCTACAATACAGACATATTCAGGTGACCTAAATCCCACCTAGTTCTCCATGCCTGGTATTTGTTAGCTAGTTCTAGACTGTGTGTCTTGTTCATGTTGAACTGCTTACACACACAGCTTATAATCAAGGTAGAATAAAGGGCACAAGTTTATGACCAGGATTCCTAAGCCCTTGCAGTAATTTCTAATACATTTCGAGAACCAATGGGAGCCTTAAAATTACAGGAATACATTACTTTATTATGAAGTTGCTTAATAATTCTGATTCCAGATTTTGTAATGTTTGATACCATTGCCTTATTTGGTATATTGAAATTTGTATTGTTAAAACTGGGTTTATTTTTAAAATGTGCAAAAATAATCTGCTTTCTAGGCTGAAGCCAGAAACACTTGAAGATGATCTTGATAAATATGCTGCAAGTGCCATGAAAATGAAAAAAGAAAAGGTTGATCTTGAAGAATTTTCAGCATACTTGGAATTTCCCGTTTCTCACACGTTAGAAAGTATGTTTGCGCTTTTTGATGAGGTAAGAAACGACAGCATGTTGAAACATTGTACTGCTTTTGGTAAACTCTGCTTGAGCCTGATTCTGTTCCAGCTGAATTCACTGAGGTCTGATTTGAGCCAGTGCTAAGTGCTTTTGAGCACCTCACCACAGTGTTTGCCTACTGCATTTCCCTTTCAGCAAGTCAGAGCACCTATCATCAACTAAATAAAGCATCCATTCAGGTAGAACTTAAAGGGAGTATCAGTTGGACAAAACTGATTTTCTTCCTAGATGGAAAATGTGAAGAAGAAGAAAGATGGATTCAGGCTACACCTCTGCTGCTGCTTGTTGCAACTGGATGCCGTGCCTCTTAGCTGATATGTCACTTATCTTGCAAATAAATCACTTGTTCTTCTAGGAAGCCTGAAACCCGAAGGACCTAGGAACTTGGCAGATGAGCCAGCTTTTTGGTCCTCTGGGAATCAGTCAGAATGGGGAAATGGCAATTACCTTTGCCTGGATGATGTGCTGTTTGGATTGGGAGGTGGATATGTCCACAGTGTTCTCTTAGACCAAAGAGCAGATGACGTGTATTCAGGGCTTAAATGAGGCTACCTTGCCCTCTGGTTCTCCAATTTTAATTTCAACCCGGTAATTCCGATGGTTTAATGTAAAAAGCTTAAATATGCAAGTGAGGGGTGACAGTGGCAGCACTGTCTTCTGAGAGCATTTGAATTACGACTTTTGAGACTGAGACTCTGAAAAGCTTTGGTGACCCAGGCTCTTGCCCTGACGTAATGCTATTTCAGTGAGACCTTTTCTTTGCAGTGGCATATATAATGATCTTTCTGAATATCCTGCGTCTTTAGCAACTGTTAGTTATTTATGACAGTTCTCAGACAAATTGCAGTGTTTTGAGGTGAGGTTTTCCTTCACAGAATGAAGATGGCGTAATTGACATTCGGGAATTTGTCATTGCTCTGTCAGTGGTCTGTAAGCCATCCAAAACTCTGGAAACAATGCAGTTGGCATTTCAGGTAAGCAGCATTTCCGTCCTCTATGTAGTTTACTCATTTTTAGAAATTATTAATACTGACATTAGACTTAACAGAAGCTTGTTTCACATTCCTTTTTAATACTTAATTACATTTTAAAATAACATTAATGGGAAGTCAGATTAAGAGGACATGTTCAGAGGGAATGCATTGCAAGTTTAAGTTGTGTAAAATTACAGAAGTTTGCAGTTTAACGTTGTTCTCTGTGGAACTCTGGTAGAATCCTTTTCAGCACATTGTCTCAAACCTGAAGTTCTTTGTATTGAGTCCTCTCAATGCTAATGAGTTGTGCTTACTACTTTTAAAATGTTTCAATCAAATCTTATTTTTCAAGTCAATAAAATATTTAAAAGCTTTTCCTACATGTTAATAGAGTTTTTTTGTGGGGTTTTTTACCCCCTTTCATCTTCTTGGTAAGATTTTCTTCCCTCTTAGTCCTACCATATTCCTGTGTTGGCCTTTCAGTCTCTGCCCAGACTTTATGCTTCTCAGCAGTGCTCCTGATCTTGTTCTAGCCTCAGTGGTTTGTTGCAGCATCGGCATAGATGACACCTTGATTTATTACTTTTTAATTGATTCCTTTAATATTGCTATTTCAACACGTAAACTCTGCTGCATCCTGCTTCATTTTTTTTCCTTTGCCTTGAACTCGCATGGTCTTTAGTATTACTGAAGCTGCGAAGTGCTGACTGTTGATGCTGTCTTCACTAGTGAATGCACGGAGTTGAGAACATTCAGTTGCATGGTACTGCCGTCAGCTTTATTTTATGAGTAGTTCAGGTTCTTCAGCATACCTTGTATCAATCTCTTAACTATGTTTTGACAAAGAAATGAGGCGCCTGTGAATATTTAGTGTCCACATCCATCATTCTTACCTTTTGGCCAGTATCAAACAAGTTTGACAAAGGAGGAAGGAACAAAAATATTTGGTTCCTGCAAATATGGGGGGAAATCTGCCTCTAATAGCTGCTGTTACTTGGAGCTACTTCTGAGGGAAAAGCAGGAAGATCCCTGCCCTTGCTTATTCCATTTGATCTATATAATGGCATAGAGGGATGGTCAGGTGCTGTTTGGTCAGCTCTGTGTCTTCATACTGAAATGAACAAGCTTAAAGTAAACTTGAAGGTGGCTTTTGGGCAGTATTTCAGTGCAAATTAGCTGTGATGATACATAGTGCGCAATATACTTTCACCGTTTCAGAGAAAGAAAAAAGCTCAGCTTGGGCGGTTATTTTCTTTTTTGGAAGCATCTAAATTTAAGTTAATAACTGTTTCTTCACTGTCTGCTCTATTCTTCAATTCATAATACATAATTTTGAGTTTCCTGGCTAATTGCAAAGTATTAAGTTAACGGTGGAACTGGAAAGAAGGTCTAGGCATGTATTAAGAAGGGAAGGCAGGTGTGGCTCATTTTATCCTGCTAGTGAAGATCGAAAGGGTTAAAAAAAAGTCTCCAGCTGAGGAAATTTTGCTCACAGTATTGCAGAAAAAACAGAAAGAGAAGCTTTTTTAATGCTTTCTTCCCCCCTGTCCTGGTTTCATGTACAGGAAGATATTCCCAGAGCTTAGGGGGAGCTGTTGAAGGATCTAGCTGGTTCATGAATGTGTGGCTTGGAACGGGTACTGTCCTCTGCCACGTGCTGCTTTTTTGCAAAGCACTTTGTCATCTGTTTTCAGGGATAAGGGGCAACATTTCACATAGCTGAACAAGTTTTCAGAGTGGAAGTGTTTAGTATATGGCTGAAGAACTTGAAAAATAGGAGTTACTGAGCCACTGGAGTTGTAAAGCAGTGGGCAATTACAAGAGAAGGAGGGGTTATGGCAGTCAAGTCGAAGAGCAGCACTCCACTGTAAGTGCTACGCCTCCTCCCTGATTGCTAAGGAAACGAAAGGGTGTTGGAAATCTTACCAATATGATGCTCGTGAGCCTTACCATCAGGTATCACCTTCTGACTACTTGAACTGTGCAAATATAGCAGGTTTTATTAAACAAGTGCCTTGTCCTTGCCCCTGCTCCTTGTGAAATGGTGTGCAGGTTAGGTGCTAGGGAGGAAAAGGCAAGATTCCCGACTTGAGCATGAATGTTGTCTTCCACGGAACTTCAACTTTTTTTATTCCACTGAGGTGTGGTGTCTCGTGACAGCAGCTTGGGCTTGTGTGAAAAATACATCCTTATGCCTGTTTTGCTCAATCTCATCAGTTCCTACCTACTCAATGATGTAAAGAAACGAAAATGAAGTTTCTAAAACTTCAACATCATTCAATGTTTGCAGTGTTGTCATGCTGGAAAATGAGACAAGGGAGTTTCAAAAACTCTTCTGTCCCAATTTCCATTGCACAGGCAGATAGAGTTATTGTAGAAAGTTCAGTGAAGCTGTATTTGGTACAGATGTTTTGAAATACTCAGGTCCTTTTTTTTCAGGGGAAAACACTGTACATGGATAGAATGAGACTCCAAACAATTATTTTTAGTTATCACTGTCCTGTCAGTAGTAAAGCTGACTCTTTCTGTGAGGAAGCTCCTCAGGACCTAAGAATATGCAAGTGGTTATTTTCTAGAATAGGTATTTGTAGAAAATTACAGGCCCATCACTGCATGGGCTAGGACTCTCCTGATCAGTACAATGCCATTTAGACGCAGGCACTTATGCAAATTGGATGTCGAATCAGTTGGATTTTGGTCAAAGGACTCTTGAGTTTTACATCTGACCAAGTGGAAACGATATCTGCTTTACGCTGACCTAAATATATCCCTGATTTCACAGACACTTTTGGAGTTTGGACGTGTAGCTCAATGGACTAAAAATTGCTCTGTTCATACATGCAAAACATGTTAGCATTAAACAGTTTTGTGAATATCACTGAAATTCCAGTGGTTAGGCGTGTAAACGTAGGGTTTATTTCTGAATATAGCAAGCCTTACTTTCTAAGCAGGCACAGGTGAACTAGTATCAATGCTCTCTTTTACCCAGACTAACCAGAAATCCTTAGTAGATCCCAGCAACCTGAGGCTGAAAGAATTTCCAGTATCAAATTTTAATTTTGCATAACTTCTCAGTGTGGTGCTGTTTATAGGAGTTAACATTCAGCTTTGCAATGGTTTATCTTGCTGTCTTGATTCATAGCTGTACCAGTCAAAAAATGGAACTATAACAGAAGAGGATTTAGCTCATATTCTGAAGACTGCCATGGGTGTGTCACAGATTAATGTTACGCATCTCTTCAGAGCTGTAGATGAAGAAGGAAAAGGAGAGATTACTTATGGTAAGTATTTTAAGTGGATCTGAACTGTCACACAGTGCCAAAGGTGTCTGAACTCATGTTGATAGACAAACCACTTAGATTTTTATTAAACTTTACCTTTTTTAGTTGACTTTTTGACTTTAATAATGATAAAAGCGCTCGCTGCGGCCAAAGTAAATTTCCATTTAAAAAAAAATTTGAATTTCACCTTCAATGCTAACTGCCATGTTTACATGTTTTCAGAGGTTTTCCCTTCCACATTAAGTCAGGCAATACCTGGATTAGCTCTTTCTGCATATTCTGTTTTGTGACTTCCATGTATGTGAATACTGATTTTTTTTAAGAAAGCTATCTTAGCTTTGTCCTGTTGTTTTGTCTCTTGTATCCGTTCCCCACTGCCCTCCCAGAATACAGGGGGATATCAGACCTTCTGCTCCTAGAATCATTTCTCAGCCTGTTTGAAAATAAGTCAGGGGTGTGGGGGGTTGGGAAGTGAGGGGGTATTAACCAGGCTGCTCCATACGTAGCCTGTAACGCGGGTGATACGGAGGCGAGAAAGTTGCATTTCAGAATTGTGAGATCTGGGTGAATACATTATGCTGGAATCAAAGCACTTGTGTGTTACTTCAAATTCTTCATCTCTTATGCAGTAAGGTTCTAAATTTAGTTGAATCATTTAAGTATGAGCTGAGCTGTTGATAACCAGCGTATCACGTATCTCCAGTAGAAGTGCTGCTGACATGCCTTGTTTTAGTGGTTTTCCTTCAGGATGCATTTAATTTGTAAAAATCTTACAAGTAAGACATCAGTATTAGCAAATCACAATTTCTACACTAGTAATTCCTGTTTTTCAGTCAAATGTATGTAAAGCTTCAACTACAGAACTATTTTGGAGTTACTGGAATGAGAACCGTTGCCACTACCCTCCCTTTTTTTTTTTTTTTCCTGACTGCTGTGTCTTGCTCCTTGATTCCTTCTGGACTAACCCTTTCCCTTCTGCACCTCTCACCTACCCGTCACATCCCCAGCATTTCCTTGTCCACTCTACATTACTGCCTTTTTCCTGCCTGTCTCTGTTGCTCCTTGTTGTCTCCCAGCTCACTTGGGCAGTGACTCAACTCTGCTCCCCTCCTCCCTGCCCTCCCCCCCCATCACCAGATTCAAAAATACCAGCACAGAATCTGAGCTGGTAAGCCTAGCAGAACTCTAATTTTGGCGCACTTCATTGTTTAAGAATAGCTAAATTTGAAGTAGTGTGCAAGTGAATTCGGACCAGTTCATGTCAGTTACCAAATGATTCATATTTTAATATCCATCTTTAGTAGTTCTTAGTTGCATTTAAATCTGCACTTTACCCCTGAGCGGTCACGGTATGTTCCCATCGCAAGAACATCTGGACCACTGAGCCACAGCAGTGGCCACTGAAGTGCTTAGCTCTCATTTTTCTCTCTTTTATTTCCTGAAGTCAAGAGTAGACTTTTGTGAGGCTACACAAAGTAGGATGGTGTTCACATCACTTCTTTGAAACTCTGCTTGGATCCTTTTCTGAGAGAAGTGCTCATTTTCGAATGTAAACATTGCATGGAGATTTTTAAGCTGAAACCTTAGTAGTAAGAATAAATGTCCAATTTATTGTGGTAGAGAATTGGAAGATGAAAATAAGCATTTGGTATTGTGTTTCTATCTGGAAGGTTCTTGCCATAAACACTCAAATCTCTTGTCTTTCCTGCGCATATGCGCAGCTTGCCACGTACTCAATTTATTGCACTTAAATACTGAGAAAGGAGAGGTGGAAGGTTGGCATTTTACATCTTTTACGAAAGCATTGTCCAGCCAAGTTCTGAGAAATCAAAACTTTGTATCTGGTGGAAGAGTACTGACGTGACTTTGGATACACACAGCAGAGGGGTCTGCTGACAAGCTCCTCCTTTTTGTGGTGTTAGAATGTGAAGCAGGAATATTAAGTCTTCAGTCTTGTAAGAACAAAAAATAAAATGTCCAAAGTATCAAACTAAATTGCTGCACATATAGCAGAGTCCCTGAAGCCAGAGATCTCGTCCCAAAGGAGAAGCTGAGGTTGCAGGTAAACAGAATAACTAATAGCAAAATTGAGATTTTATAACTACGTTGATAATGTTGGATCTGAATTGTTAGAAGACTGGATTTTTGTCGCATGTTAAAAATACACTAGTTGCCAGAAATCTGTGTATTGTTTCAGTTCTCTCAAGCAGTGAGCTGTTGGCTTCACTGTTCAGATCCACCTGGATTCCAAAGCTCATCCCTTCACTGTCATCTAGAGAGGGGCAAGATTTCTTCATCTTAAGACATGATTCAGGGGAATTTGAATAGGTCCTTTAGGTGGGCATCGCAAATTCCAGGAAATGTCCACTTGCTCGGTAGACAAATGATGACTGAAGGTGTTCTGGATGCAAATTCCAGGAAATGTCCACTTGGTAGACAAATGATGACTGAAGGTGTTCTGGAGACTCTGCCGTGCTGGCTGGTAACGAGAAGAAAGGGGGGGATTGGCAGTATTGTGAATATCCGCGTGGGTGAACGTTCAGAGAAGGAAGAATTGTTTGCTCTTTAAAAATGTAGGGTCCTTACCTAGATCAACCACAGACTCGTCCTGTTAAGTTCCCCTACGCTAATTTGTAGCTGAGGGGGAACAAAACTCGAGGAGATTCGTGAACATGCAGCTTCCATCAGGAGCATCAAGCAGCGGGAGGGCATTGCAAAGGCAGGAGAAAAACCTCTTGAAGTTCTTGTGGTACGTATGCATGCTTGATGCAGAAGTCTGATCAGCAGTCTTAAAGAACTTCACTTTGGGGTCTTTCCTCCTTTTTGTCCCCCCTTAGTAGGGGCAGGAAGGAAAATTACTTTTTCCCCAAGTGAATGACTCGGGTGATCTTTTCTTCCAGTCTAACGCTTTGCAGTTGCTTGAAGCTTGAGCTCGAAGCTGAGAGCTGTGATGAGAAGTAATGCTGGAATAGCTCGTTCTTCCTGCATCACCTTGTCTCTTGTTTCTGATGAATGGGGCAAATGGGATCCCAAGCACTTTTCTTTGGGCTCTGCTGTGTACAACTTCGATAAATATTCCTTAATGTCTTCACGATTTGTTTCAGCGAGACCAAAAATGCCTACTTACTGAAATCTATCAGAAACATTGTTCTGTTCAATTCAGTCCTCCCTGGAATTGAGGATCCCATTCGGATCCAGTACTGATAAAACATTGAGGGTTGGATCCTGGTAGTGTTGTCAGGATGCTGATCTGGATATAGACTATCATACTTGTGTGAACAACCGCTTCAAGGGATTTTTCTGAATTTATTTTCTGAAAAAATACAGTAGCTATTTTTTCATGGTCATTAATACGGTGCACAGGTTGTATGTGTTGTTACAAAAAGGACTAGATCCTTGGGGTGGGCTTAAAGCGTCCATGTGAAAAAAGGGAAGGCTTTCGTGGTCCTGCTGCAGGCCAGCCCCAGGCAGGGCTGACAGCTGATTGCTCTCGCCTTGTTAGCTGCAGGAAAATACCGTACTCGGCTGGGCTCGCTGAAGGTGCTTAGTTGTTCTGATTCCGATGAATCGGTTTGCACTCAAGTGTTTCTAATGTATTCTTGCAACTGCTACCACTGTTAAATATTTTAAATATAAATGTTCTACATTTCCTCACTGAAAAAGGTCAGGTGCGTTGCATTCTTTGCCATGAAAGTGATTTTTAAAAATGAGCTTGCATTAAATATCATTGAAAGAAAAACTTTTGCTCTGTGCATTTTCAAACATTTAAGATATTTCCCCGTCCCGTCCCCCCCCCCACCCCCAAAGACTTTTTATCATTTACGTGATCATTTACGTGATCAAGCCTGTGGTACGTACAGGCTTTTCAACACAAATGATAGTGTTGGTTTTCATGGCCCGAGCATCATCAGCTTTTGTTGAAGTTACAGGATACTCTAGATCCATACAAACTGTGGCTAAAGGATACCCGCTGCGATGTTTGTGGACGGATGAAGTTACGTTTGTTGCTTTCCCCCCACCTATCCCTTGCAGCAGTTTGGGGGCAGGGCTGACCTACAGCTTCGGTGCCCCTGGGAGCCAAAGGACATCCTCTTGCCTTTGGCAATATTGAGAAAAACACGCCGTTGCCAACAGAGAAGGGTGGTGGAGAGGGAGAGCTGCGGTAGTTCCCTTCTTCCACACCAGCCCAGTTGTACCGGGAGGAACTGGGCTTCGCTCCTCCGAAAGGCTTCTTCAGCTGTCCTCTGCGCTGCGCTCCGGGGAGCTCACAGCGTCATCCGATCATGAGCTCTTCTGGGATGACACAGTGAATTTGGGTGGGCTGGGTGGGACACACTGTGGGTGACTGAGTTGGCGATAATGTTCACATCCAGCTCTTTCCAGTGTCAGTTTACGGTATAAGAATAGCTTTTTATGACTTGGATCCTGTAGGGTACCTTGAGTTCAAACCCTGCCAGCCGTATGGGCAAACTGCGACAAGGCTTCAATGTCTGATGTGTAACACAGCGTTACTTCTTGGTGCTAAGGATTCCCTGCTCCTCCAAGAACTTTTCTTGCTGTTTTTATAGCCTTATTAGCATCCAACATTAAAATTGTTTGTTTTCATAATGTGTTACAAATTAATTCTCGCAATATTATTCTTTAAAGTATGGGGACCTTTGAAACGCTGAAATCTTGAAAGCGGAAGGCGGTAATGACGGCTGCTGTTAGGTTGAGGAGAATGGCGGGTGCAAAGCATTAAAGGGCACGTTTGCAAAAGACTTCCCAGGCTTTGAGAAACGACTGCTCTTGCTGTTCGTTGTTCCTCGGTCGGAGGGCTTCTGCCCTCCCCGCAGTGAACAGGGAGATGCTGTGTGTCCCTCCTCATGCATTTTAATGCAAATCTGAGCCTGTTTACTCCGTCACCCTACAAGCTGAGCTCTGGGCTGAAGTGTTTTAAGAGGGCTTAGATAACTCTGCGGCATCCTGGCTCTGGGAACGTGGTAAACTTCTGCTGGGAAGCTAAAACAAGCCATGGGGAGAGCATGGAGTTAACCGCTGCTATTTTTCTCCACAGTGATCGTGTGATTGTTATATGTGTAAGCATTCAAATTTAGCGTCCTTCTGTTTCAAAGAGCTGATTCTGTGTAACAACAGTTTGTGGGTTTTTTTTTTTTTAGATGACTTCTGCAGATTTGCTGAGTTGCACCCACACTTTGCAGAAGACTATCTCTATGCTGATCAGATGGGAGCTGAGAGTGGCTTGGAGACTTCATCCCTTTCTGCTCCTAATGGTATCTGTACTGACTTCAGCCCTGAAAGCGCTGAAGACAAAAACAAGCCCCTGCAGAAGAAACTGAATTGACACTACAACTGTTTTCTTCCTCTCCTGGTGAGAGGATTGTCTTTTCTTGGGATTTTCATAAGTCACTCCAACTATACAGCAAATACCAGTTTTGTGTGTGAAAGTTCTTCTACCTTAATGCCGTTCTTTGAATCATACGTGCTATATTTAACAACATGTTCCAGGTTACTTTGGGGAAGGTGGTTTTTTTTTTTGTTTTTTTTTTTTTTCAAAAAGGTCACGTTTGGGCAAAAAATGTGAATGTGCTTCATTGTTAATGTTCATATTTAAAAGGAGGCGGCACACTTATTTATATTCCATTGGCTAGTTTCCTGTACAAAGTGTCGCACAAACTGTGCATGTATAAAGAAACTGTAGCTACTCTGGTGTTAAGTGCACTTTGGTGATTAGTGTTTTCCCTAGTTACGGGGACGTTTATTTGGGGCCAAACTTTGCTGTCCATATTTGCATAGTCAGTCTTGTTGATTTCAGTGGGATTATTCCCTTGAGCAAGGCAAGCGTATTTTGGCCCTTTGTTTTGGTTTGAGTGAGCGGTTTGGAAACAGTAACTCAGAAGCTTGCTAAGGATTCCTTTTTATTTTAATCGTTGAATGACAACATTGTTTCTCTGTCAGTCTATTCCATGGTAGAATGAAAAGGAAAGGCTCCTTACCCCTCACCCCAACACTTTTCTACTGTAATCTTCCAGATGCAATTAAACATGAGGTTTTTTCCAAACTGACATGCCACGTACTGTTTGCAAATACGTGACAAATCTGCTTGTGCTTTTCTCTTCTAATCAAATCAAACCATGTCCACCCAACATTGAAGTGGGAGATGTTTACACAATTCTATTTAATCCAGATTTATCAGGAATCACAGGTTTCTTTTGTGGCAAGCCTGTGTGTACAGCTAACCTAGCATGGAACGCGTTATGAGCGCTTTTTTGTATCGGCACAAGTTTGGAAAGGCTGCAGTTACTTCAGAGGCCAAGCCAGCCACCAGTTGCAGAACATCCTGAAGAAATGCTAGTTAAATCTCTAGAGCAACATCACATAGACTGCATATAACGTATATGAAGCTTAAAATATTTAAAACTGTTTAAGAAAATAACCAAACCAACGTAAAATACTTGTATCAGTAACATTTCTTATCTTTCCATTTCTAAAGCCAGGTGCCTTAATTACCAATGGAGGTCTCAGAGAAAAATTTAGGTTATGATAAAACCACAGAGCTTCACTGATCAGGAAATGTGATAAAAGCCTCAAGGAGTAGGAAGGAGGACTCTGTCACAAAGTCACTCTGATGGCAACTCTACTTCCAAACAAACAAAATGTACTTTTAGATCATTTCTATGACTAATTTTGTAGGGATGAGCTAAAATATGATGGGTTTGTGGTTGGAAAACTGTTGAGGTTTGAATCTTCCATGTGTTAGAGTAATGTAAAACTAGATTTGAAAGGGAGGAGTTTTAGCAGAAGGAAATCTGTTTGTACCAAATGCTTTTAGTACTATTTTTTAAATAGCAGGAGGTGTTTCAAAGCTCATTAGGGTATTGGAAGGTGTCCTTAGAAATCCCTAGCTGTAAGTGGCAAGTCTCCAAACTGAAACTGGCTTTAATAGAAAGCGTATTGGGGGGGAATGTAAGAAATTAATGCTTTCTGTGGGATATGTGGAGGTAGGTCCTCATTCGGAGGTAATAATTATTTTTTTATTTATCTAGGCAATACATGCAAAGCTGACAGGGCTGCAGCAGACTGGCAGACAAAATCTGAATTAAAAGTGATGATGAAAAATAGGAGAAATGGTTTGGAAAAATAAGGCATGTGAGGAACTACACTTAGGTAGGAGGAGTCAGCTGCAGAAACAGCGGAGGGTGTGGGTATTGCTGCTTAAAACACTTTGAGGCAGGGGTGGTATAGAGTACGACAAACTGAGCACTGTTAACTCGTTGTTGCGGAGAAGATACTCATCGTAGTGGGATGCATCACCAGTCTGGCCTGTGAGAAGCGTGGTGGTATTTCTGGGTTAGCAAGGTGTGCCAAGGTCTTGCCTGAAGTAGCTGCCCTTGTTGGGGCACTTGAGGAAGATGGGGAGTAGCTGGATAGAGTCTGGAGGACAGAAAGTAGTTGGAAAAAGAGATCAAAAGTGTTCTTTAATCCAAAGAAGAGGAGACTGAAGGAAGAGGAGAGTCATCAAACATGGAAAAAGTTGCTGTAGGGAGGACAGGAACGGTCTTTTCTCCACGTTGATACAGGCTGTTCCTTCAAAAGGCAAGTTGAGCGTTAGGAAACGCCCTGACAACACACCCGGTTAAGGCAGGGGGAGTGGGCGGTTCCAGGTGGGGTGAGAGCCTTCCTTCACTGCAGGCTTTGAAAACAGAACAGACAGCTCAGGTGGAGACACGTGGGTTTGTGGATCGTGCCCCAGGGTCACCGGGGTACGTCCCGGGGTCTGCTTTCGCTGAGTGCGCGGGGCCTCTCTGAGGCGGTACGTCAGGGAGGCACATGGACTGCGCCCTGGGCATGTTGCACCTCCTCTGCCGGGCTTCTTGTGGCACGAGGCTCGAGCTGGCTGGCTAAGGGAGTTTTCTCTTGCTTGGTGTGTGTGCTTGGGAATTTGAGAGTTTCAGACTGCAGGGCATGAGAGAGTTCCCTGAGACACGTGTCTGAAAGGAAGAAAAAGGCCAGGTTAGTATCCCATGGGCAGCTTCGAGGTGAGTGAAGCTTCAGAGGAGGAGATGCTCTTCTCCGTCCACACCTGCGAAGGAGCAAAGTTGATGGAAGTTGGCCCGATATGAGAGTGCCTCATTTGGGTGTATGGGGGGTGTAACTTGGGCTTCTGCCTTCTGAACACCAAAGGGTTCCTTTGGCTTCACGTTTGTTTTGGCGAGGGAGATGTCTACAGTAGAGAGGCCCTTAAACAAACACCACACTGCGTGGTGAAGCGGCACGCAGCCGTGTGCGTCACTGATTCGGTCCAGAGGGGCTGCTGAAGAAGGCTGGTGACCAGCGTGGTGTTTGCTTGGTAAGCGAGTACTCTGGGTGGGGAAATAAACACAAAAACAACAGCAAAAAAAACCCCAAACCACAGAACAACACTTAGATTCTGGAACGAATTGCAATGCTCCCGCTTTTGGAGATTGTTGAACGAGGTAGAGACACAATAGGATGGACGATAGGACGAAGTCCTGACCAGCCTCCGTGGAAGCATTGTTAGATCACACACAATGTCACAAAAGCTGAGACTAATGAACACAGTTCAGGTGATTTTAGCATCTGAGGAGTATCAGGCTGTGATGTCAGACAGCTTTGTAGTGACAGAGAAGCCACGTTAAGGTAGGGTGGTGAACTCAGACTCCGTTGAGGGCTGAGAGCTGTGCCACACACGCTGCTCTGCTGCAGCAAGGTCCCTTACAGCTTGGCTGTCGAACTGCTGAAACGCTGTAGCGGTTCCACATCAGCAGCCTTTTCGGAAGGCACCCGGCGGTGGGACAGCGGGGCTGGGACAGCCTGGTCTCGGGGCACGCTGCAGTGTTGGGGTAGAAGCGAAAGCTTCCTCTCCCCTTCACCAAACATCGGTGTGTAGGTGCTCAAAACGTTACAGGTGTTACAAACGCATTGCTGTAACTGGGGATAGCAACAGCCCCTGAGTGCTTAAAAGGAGGCATAGGAAGAAATTACTTCAGTTCTTTGCAATAATTTAACTTAATAAATGATCCTGACACAAAAAAAAGCAGGGCTGTGAAGGCATTTGACATTTTTGATGAGCATTTTACTACTTTTAGGTAATGCTGCTATTCTGACATGGCTGAACAAATCTACTCTGCGTTTTGAAGGTGTTTTAAAGTAACACCGAAAACAAGGAAATCCGAGAGCTCTAGAAAGAACCTTTTTTTTTTTTCTTTTTGCTCCATTTCTATTTCTTTAACCATCATAAACCCCACTAAACCCACACAAACGTTCAGGAGGTGCAAGGCATGTTGAAACCACTGTCTCTCCCGCAGTGAGGCACGTGCTAGTGCAGGGTTCTCGGGAGCCCGCTGCTGTGAGCAGATACTCTTACGAGGCGTTACAGGCAATTTGAAAGCCTTACGGAGAAGTGAGGTGGAACACTTAATTTCATACCAGTTAATTACACGGTTTCAATGCATTTACTGCAGCTGGAATGACCTCACTGTGATGAAAGCAACAAGGCGTGTGTGTGTGTGTGTGTGCACTAATCCCACTTGGAAGGCACAAATCCGTAGGTCACCGAGGTTGAAGGGGGGACACGTGTGCAGCGGGGAAGCGACGCAGCCGCAGCGGTGGCAGAGCTGCTGAAGGAAATAGTGTAAAAGTTCTGAGCGTAGCTCTTTGTTAACACTTTCATGCAAACCAAAGAGGTTTGTTGGCTACTTTAAGCATTGGGCTGGTTGGAAATTTTTTTAAATAATTTTTTTCATAAATTTCATAATTTTTTCATTTTTTATCATAAAATATAGTAAACATTTTTCTGGAAAAGGGATTGTCGCGCTTCCACACCTGCATAGCTTGATAAATGTTCTAAAGCAGCCGTGTTTTTATTAATTTATGAGTCCCCTTACAAGGTCTTGCCATTAAATTATTCTTCCTACTTCTCCATTACGATGCAGTAAGTACAGCTTTTCACGTGAACTGTTTTAATCACATTCTGCTCTCCGCTCCTTCAAAAATGGTATTCTTGTTTTTAAAGAAAAAAAGGAAAACGTAAAGAGTACAAGTTGCAGAACTTGAGCAGCGTGTGCTGTAGGTCCCATGATCTCAGAAAAACACCGTAAGCCCAGCTTCGCATGTGTTATGGGACTGAACCGGGGTGGAGAGGAAAAAAAAATAGATTTCTGATTAAAAACTCTGACCAAGTCAGATTACTTTTCCTTTAGGTCAGAGTGTGGGTCATAAGATTTTCTGAAATGCTGGATTCTGCTTCATGGGAAGCCTCTGGGTTTTTTAGCAGCACTTTCATGAATGGGCTGGAATTAAGACCTGACAAATACGTTGGCCAAGAGTTTTACGTGAGGAAAAGTGAAG